AGTTATTTTAAGACCCTGAGTGTTGGTCCGGTCTGGGGCTCGAACCTTCGACCTCCCGCACAGCAGTCCGGCGCTCTCCCAATTGAGCTAACCAGGCGGAATGACACTCCAGGCAGAATTTGGGAGGAGACCTCGCTTTCATCAAATCACAAGATGAAAACAACTTCGTTCATGACCTAATGAACCAGCAAACAGACCAAGATTGGGTTGCTTGGCTTGGACTTTACAGAAAGGCTAATAATGCGTTTTACTGGATCGATGACATTCCATTAACGGACCAGTATGCTGCATGGGCAAGTGGAGAACCTAACTATTTTTATGTAAATGAAAAGTGTGTCCACATATATAACGTATTAGAAAAACTTGGGGAATTGAATGACCTTAGATGTAATTTGGACGAGGCGTAGAAGAATGTAGCCCCTGTTACACTTTGCCAGGAAAATCACATTTAAGGCGGTCATCATAACTGAGCATTTTGCCGTTTTGTCACGAAAGGATTCCAGAGATACATAAACTCATTTTTCAATAGAATTGTAAAACCCTGGAACATTATCTGTAAATCTCGCCCCTTATGACAAGTTTTCCAGTCTAAGTATGTTTAAAAATGTTCTGCGCGCCACCTTTTACTTTACTGGACACTACTTACAATATTGACATGCCCTGCACCTGGTTCCTCTCCTGCAACTGCCTTTGCCACCGCTCTTAATTTAACCTGACTGATTTTATTTGCACCTTACCGTGCACTATTAGTAATTAATTACATTCATTGTAATTTTATTAAATTTCAGATTTCTTATATCAGGTTTTATTAGATTTTGGTTGCGCATCGCATAGGATACTTATCCCGTTTGCCCAATCCCTTTTGGTCTTTTCATCTCTAATATTGATTTACCATATATGTGTATATTTAACTTGTGAGACCAATAAAGTTGATAGACAAACTTCATTTACACTCGAGACATATAGGCGAGTTAACGCTACACACTGACTACTTGTAAGAACTTAGTATCAAACGTTGTTGTCAGCATTAGAACATTACAATTATGCAAAATAGAAAGTTCTAGGAACTTAGGAACTTAGAAAATTCAAAGTTCTTTGATGAGGGTGTCAAATGTTTCTCTACTATAAAAAAAGTAAGATATAGGGTAGAGAGCCGTACAGAAAACCATAGTGACACGAAAATGTGGGTGGCCCCAGTCTTTTGTGGGGTTGAGGCGGCCATTTTGGCTTTAAGTTTAAACATAAATAGATAATGTATTGCAACTAGGTTTACTCTTTTAGTGTAAATAAAATATTTTTAACGTTGGCTTTGTGCTCTTTGTCTATTCTGCATAGTAGAACAAGTGAATTACTTGTCAACTGTACAAAATATCGCAAAATTACGGTTATAAGTCACCCCTCCCGTTTTAAAGCCCCAACGGCTGAAAGCCAATTTAATTAGAGAGTTTAAGGGCCCATTAACTGATCTTTTCGAGCCTTTGCTAAGGAAAATTTTTTCT